AATGTAGTCATCGATTACAACAGAAGATAACAATACAACTGCACTGAAAGATGACAAAGATACATTAACTGCTGGCGTATCTTTGCTAACGAATCAAGTTTTGGACGATTTCATATCTTCCGTACCGCAACCTGCCGGTGTCGTAAGCTGGTCACCACCTCAGCCAAATTGGAATCCATGGACTGGCTGTAATATAGATGAGGGACCACTGGCAACAACTTCTCTGGATCAGTTGTCAGAAGATTTAATGAATGAACAACGAGAAAAGCTGCAACAGGACTCCAGTTTGCAGGCAAGCATCAAAGAAAGATCAAGTTTGCCCGTTTTCAACAAAAAAAGCGAGATCATGAATGCAATTAACGAAAATCCAATCATTATCATACGTGGAAATACGGGATGTGGTAAGACTACGCAGGTTTGCCAGTTCATTCTGGATGATTATATCGCATCCGGCCAAGGTGCATATTGCAGTATAGTTGTCACTCAACCCAGAAGAATTTCTGCCGTTTCCGTGGCTGACCGAGTCGCCGCCGAGAGATGCGAGGCTTTGGGACAATCGATTGGATATTCCGTGAGATTTGAGTCGTACTTGCCGAGACCCTATGCCAGTATAATGTTTTGCACTATTGGTGTACTCTTGAGAAAACTGGAGGGTGGCCTTAGAGGTGTATCGCATGTTATAGTTGATGAGATCCATGAGCGAGATGTTAATTCAGATTTTATTATGGTGGTGCTCAGAGATATGATCCACCTCTATCCTGATCTCAGAATTATTCTCATGTCTGCTACAATTGATACAACATTGTTCAGCGAGTATTTCAACAAGTGTCCTGTAGTGGAGATTCCTGGAAGAGCGTATCCCGTTCAGCAATATTTCTTGGAGGACTGTATACAGCTGACAAATTTTTTTCCACCTACAAGTTCCGGGAAACGTAAATCTAAGGAATCAGACGATTTGCCAATACCGGACGCAGAACCAGAAGAAAATCTGAATAAAGTCATCGGCAATAATTATTCTGTTGAAACAAAGAATGCTATGGGACAACTGACAGAGAAAGAGATAAGCTTTGAGTTAATAGAGGCGCTTCTTATGTATATTAAAAGACAGGATATTCCAGGTGCTGTGCTGATTTTTCTCCCTGGATGGAATTTGATATTCGCGTTGATGAAACACCTTCAGCAACATTCTCTCTTTGGCGGATCGTCTTATCTCATTATACCACTACACTCGCAATTACCGAGAGAAGATCAGCGTAAAGTTTTTGATCCTGTCCCGTCATTTGTAACGAAGATTATTTTATCCACAAATATTGCAGAAACTTCAATCACGATCAACGATGTCGTCTACGTTATAGATTCTTGCAAGGCCAAAATGAAGTTATTCACTTCGCACAATAATATGACTAATTACGCAACTGTTTGGGCCAGTAAAACGAATCTCGAACAACGCAAGGGTAGAGCGGGTCGCGTTAGGCCTGGCTTTTGTTTCCATCTATGCTCAAAAGCTCGATTCAATAAGATGGATGAACACATGACACCAGAAATGTTCAGGACACCTCTGCATGAATTGGCATTGAGTATCAAATTATTAAGATTAGGCAATATCGGTCAATTCTTATCAAAGGCAATTGAGCCACCTCCCATTGATGCCGTGATTGAAGCGGAAGTTGTATTAAGAGGTATATACTTTTTATTTTTTTCTTTTCCATAATCAATTAATTTTTAACTAATTTCTAAGACTTTGTATTTCTATGCGTACAGAAATGAAATGCTTGGATAAAAACGATGAATTAACGCCTCTTGGCAAGATTTTGGCGCGTTTACCTATAGAACCGCGATTGGGAAAAATGATGATCCTAGGATGTATGTTTCGCGTGGGCGACGCGCTCTCGACGATGGCCGCAAATAGTACTACTTTTCCTGAGGTATACAACATGGGTCCGGATGTGAAAAGGCTGACTGCTCAACAAAAATGGTTTGCCGGTGCTAGATTCAGTGATCATGTCGCAATGTTTCATGCTTTTCAAGCATGGGAAGAAGCAAGAACAGGTGGCGAATGGGCAGAACAAACATTCTGTGATTCAAAGAGTCTGAGTCTACCAACTTTACGAATTACCTGGGAAGCTAAGGTCGGTAGAATTGCGATGTGGCTAGCATATATCCTTATATACTAGTGATAATGACTTATTATTCCATATGTGCAGAACCAACTACAAGCGCTATTGCAAAGCGCTGGTTTTCCCGAGGAAACTCTGTGCCCCATGCCACTAAATTATCAAGCAGGTGCGGATCCACGCCTCGACACCATCACTGCGCTGTTGTGCATGGGTCTATATCCCAATGTGTGTTATCATAAGGAGAAGCGGAAAGTTCTCACCACAGAATCGAAAGCTGCGCTGATTCATAAAACATCGGTGAATTGCAGCAACTTCGAACAAAACTTTCCATTCCCGTTCTTCGTGTTTGGTGAAAAGGTATTTAGACACAATATCCAGAATTAAAATATAAGATTTTTTAATTTTGGATATGCGTGCTGTATGGATAATATAAACATTTTTTTCTCTCTCTCTCTCTCTCTCTCTCTTTTTCTTTCTCTCTCTCTCACTCGATAACTCTCTTGTTTCATTAGATTCGCACGAGAGCTGTATCTTGCAAGCAAATGACTATGGTGTCGCCTATACATCTATTACTATTTGGATCACGAAAAGTAGAATACGTGGATGGCGTGATTAAACTAGACAACTGGATCAACTTGGATATGGATCCGCAACATGCAGCAGCTATCGTTGCTCTGAGACCAGCTTTAGAAAGTCTTGTAGTTAGAGCATCCAAAGATCCAGAAACGATTCTAGAATTGAGTCCGACTGAAGAAAAGGTATAAATCAAACTTGAAATTTTAATTAATATAAAGTTATTTATATTAATGTAAAAGATTTATCATTCTTCTATTAAATTTTGTATTGAAACTTCTGGCCACTACTAATCTGAGATTATAATGTCAGAAACAAAAAAATACATAATATTCTTGCAAAAAATATATTAAAATAGAAATATTTTATGACTAGGAATCTTCAATGAGAGTTCAGATCCAGAGTTCTTAAAAGATTTGAAAAATTTCTGAATAAGCAAAAAATATTTTTAATTAGAATAAAATATATTGAAACCATTAATGACAATTTTGCTTTAATTTGCTGCTATTTTTGTATACAATTTTGACAAAATATGCGATTTTTTGTGCATTAACTTAATATCTCTTTTATTATACTTAGAAAAAGTTTTCTTTCTGTCTCTCTCTCTCTCTCTCTCTCTTTTTTTCCTCTCTCTTTTTTTCATGATATTTGGTAAACGACAATATCTTGGACTACGTTTCAAAAACGTAATGTATGTTATATTAAGTAAAATTTTCTTTGGAGAGGACATTTTGGAATGTAGCTTCGATAATGTTATTGATATTTTTTTTTTTTTTTTTAGATATTGAGCGTGATTAAAGCATTATGCAGCATGAATGCTTGTCGTCACGAATTGGAGCCGATAATCGGCGGTGGTTTTCAATCAGCACGACCTCCCAGGGGACATGTAACCGGCTTTCGCGGTAACTTTAATACACCTCCAAAAATGATGCGGGGAAGTGGAGGTTACCGCGGTCCAGTTTCGAATAACGAGTCCTACGGTGGGAATAGCGGTTTTAATGATAATCGCAGCGGTGGTTACAACAGAGGAGGTTACAACAGGGGATATACCATGGGCAATCCGCGCGGTCGAGGTGGAAATTGGAATAATAGTGGCAATCGTGGACGTTATTTTAATTAATATTTTGTTTACACTAACTGTAATTATAGTGTTGCTATTACACTTTAGAATGCAATTCAGGATTTATAATTCTAGATATTGATTTGAAGTATCTTAGTGTATTGCCTTCCTTTTACTTTGATTGACAAAAGTGATACACTTTAAGTTACTGTCCAGAATTAGAAATCAGCTATATTAGACTGAATTATTTAATTGCATGGATGGTTCAATTTTTGTCTGGAATTTTTTATTTCTTCAAAAAACGGTAGAGTGCCGAATTACCATCTCTCTCGTAATAATAAGGAAATTCCTTCTGATATAAAATGAAAGCGAGATGTGATTTACAATAATATTAGCAATATGGAATGAATTGAATGTGTTGGCTCAAGCTATGCTATCATAAAAGTTTGACTGAAAAAAGAGATTAAGCCTTTAAAAATTTTACAATGTTTGCAAGCTTAATATTTTTACTAACAGTCATATGTGATATGCAGAAGTCAGAAATGGCCGAGAGGAAGTTGGTGATCTTCACCGAACGATGATTTCAACACATTAGCTCAACGATATCTATCTTGCAGGCATAGCATTTTTGTCAAAATGAAAAGTATCATCATGTGAAGAGAAAGTACTTGAAGAAAGAAACCTAAATTGAACAATACAATTTCGTCGCTATTACCATAATTCTGGACAGAAGTTGAGTTGCTCATGTATACATGTAGGTTGAATATTATATTGACATTATATTATTATATAATAAAAAGTATATATAATATTATATAAAAAAAAGTATATACTATAAAGTTGCATCCAGATTATTGAACCGAACTTAAAGACGAACTGTGAATTAAAGTCATGAGCATCACAAACATTTCTGCGATCCATACTGTAGTTTCAATTTTTTTTTATTTAATTGTTGGCACCTATTTTCAAAACAAGTCTTATGAAGATTAATACAGTCAGATCACGTTTTGTGGGATGTATGGAAATGTGTGATGTTTCTTTGCAGAGTCCTAAAATTTATTCTTAGTAAGCACTTGTATTATGCCTCGTTTATGCAAGGAGTTTGCATTGACGTTGGAAGCATCGCATTGAAGGAAATAAGATTGAGTTAATTGAGTCGAGGAACTAGAAGAGATCTTAATATTATACTATATTGTAACTGCTATAATAATATATTATTATACAATAATATAATGTGATGACATTGTATTGAACATTGTAATACAGTATAGAATCACAGTATAATTTGTTTACATGTAATACTTGGTTTTTTTCTTTAAACTTTTATCATATGATGTGATACTCTCATAATATGAAAACATTTTTGTCTCTTCATATTTTCTGTTGTAGAGGAAGATCTTTAAATTATTATTGTATATGATATGATAAATAAATTGCTATGAGCTCGAACTCTCTTGTTTAGAATGCTTTCAAGTAGTATTGGATCAATAAAAAAAATTCTGTTTTTTTAATTCGTGCGTGTATCTTTGTGACAAAAAAAAAAATTTTTAATCGCTGGAGATCTTGCTGTCAGTACGACGGCATGATCGATCGACCGATCATGGTTTCATCACGTAGATTCGTATCCATTCGTGTCAGTCAATGATAAAGCGCGCTATCAATCCATCTATCCGAGCGCGATGGTTGCCGTCGAATGACGCCACGGCCACCTAACGGAAGTGAACCGAAAGTAGGCGAAGGCAACATCGTCGCTGATCGTTGCGGACGGGATGTCGGACATCTATTTCCGAACACGTTGCAATCGGGGTCGAAGGGGACAGCGAATCGCTGGATGGCAAGAAACGACTAGAAAAATTCACGGGGTGTAAAGACTAGTTCCAACTGATTCTGCCTTAGTGTCCTGTCGTCGTCGTTTGACAGTTGTCCGAATTCTGTGTTGATTTATTACGCGGAAGAGAGAGAGAGAGAGAGAGAGAGAGAGAGAGAGAGAGAGAGAGAGAGAGGCAGTGAGTCGGCCGTTCGTCGTGTCGTGCGATTGTCACGCTAAGTGTTCGCGAAGGACTTGAAGAGAAGAATAGAAGGAAGAAAAAAAAGCGTAATCTCCCGTGGCGGTGGTTGCGAAACGTCACGCGCGATCGTCGGACTTCATACGTGCGCGCGTGCGGCTCGTGAGTGGCGCACGAGGTGGACAAGGTGAATCTACGACTGGTCCAGGACGAGACGTGGAGAGACGCCGCGACAGGAAAGAGAAAAGAGGACGGCGACGCGCAGATAATGCGATGAGACACCGCGTCGACCGCTTGTCGAGTCGCCGTTCGCTGATCCTCGCGCAGCGAAACGACACGAGGTTGCTCTCGCGCGACATCCTGGACGGAGTCGCACGCAGAAGGTTATAAGCGAAGTTATGCGCCTGACGTTCGGCCTACCGACGAACGTCGATCACGGTGGACCGCTACCGAGCTGTTTTTCCGGCCTTTCGCAGATCCGACGAATGGACGACGACACGCCGACCAACGCACTTGATGGTCCACGTTCGGAGACGCGCACCCCTTTGCGCCCTTTAACGCCTTCGACGACGTCCCGTGGCCCAGGATCCGTTTAACTGGCTGTGAAAAGTGCAACGTAATTCGAGTCCAAAGAGTTGAGTAGTGCAATTAATCATTCTTCTATATCGTGTTGTTTGGCCAGATACTATAAGATGCCTTGAGATATAAAAATAATATTTCCTTAAGAAGCAAAATGTTAGCACCATATCAGCGATCTGTTAGCAGATTTGGAAAGAATATGTAGTAGATTGGCAATTATGTCTGCATTAAACTCGTGTTTTTCCAATGCCTGTCAGCAAATTGTCACAGAAACCAAACAGAATTTTATTGTAATTATTAAATTAAATTATATTTAAATGAAATTATGGAATGATATGATTCTGTTTGGTTTCCATTGGAAATTTGCTATCAGATTGTCACAGATTGGCAAAACATAAGCTTAATACAGTTGTCAATTTGCTGTAATATTCTATCTAAATCTGCAGACAAATTACTGATATACTTCTAGATAGCTAAATCTGTCAAAAACAGATTTTGCAAAGTTCACTACAAATTTTGTCAAATGTACAAATAGAATGAATAGAATATCAGCAAAAATCTAACAAAAGAATGTAATGACAGATTGTAGAAACCAAGCAGACTTTATCATCCTGTAATTATTTAAATGATATGTTTCATTTAAATAATTACAAATTACATGACTCTGCTTTGTCTAGATTTCAACAGAATATTGGCATCAACTATAATATTCAACTCATGTTCTAGCAAAGTTTATCGACATAATAACTGCTAACAATAAACTGTCAGCAGAAACCTCATTTAAACAAAATTTCATTCCCTAGTCATGAAATATATATCATCTCATGACTATGAAATGGCCGATGTTACTTCTGTATTTACCTGCTATCATATTTTATTAATAAATTTTGTTTATTTAACAGACTTTGTAAAAATTTCAACAAATTGACCATTATCACATTTTAAATATATTCATAAAGTACTTGAAACAATTAGATGCTGCTAACACATCGGTAATAGAACTCTATGGAAACAGAACATATTATTACTGAATTTTGCTAATATATATGAAACTGAGCTAACAATAATGAATTTGTTCCTTTAATCTATTGCAAATTGTTGTACAATACTATATTTTTCTGTATTATTGCTACAGGTACATAGGTAGATAGATAGATATATAAAACACTGGTCAAAATGGATCAAGAAACGGTCTACGGCACGCATGAGGATAGTCATGTTGTCATGTCAGAGAAAGTGCAATCTTTGGCAGGCAGCATCTATCAAGAGTTTGAAAAGATGATAGCGAGATACGATGAGGATGTAGTGAAAGACTTGATGCCTCTGCTAGTCAATGTGTTAGAATGTCTGGATATATCATATACCGAGAATCAAGAGCGTGAAGTTGAACTAGAGTTATTAAGAGAAGATAATGAACAGCTTGTCACGCAGTATGAAAGGGAGAAGCAATTGAGAAAAGCATCAGATCAGGTAATTACTTTTTTCAAATAAGTTACCTTAAACATTTTTGATTATATATGAATAATACATGAATGAATAATATATTTATATTATAATATAATATGAATATTTTTATATCAGAAACTTCTCGAACTGGAAGATGTTTCCGAAGATGAGAGAAAGGAACTTCTATCGAAAATTGATAGCTTGGAATCTATCGTAAGAATGCTGGAACTGAAGACTAAGAATTCTCATGATCACGGTACAAATGCCATTGACGTTTCCAGTCTACCTGTTCACAGTTCTTCCCTTTACAGTAGAGTAGAAGATTTTGTTTTTTTTTGCGTTTTATGTTATTTATATTCATGTATCACTCTCTTGTAGTGAGCGAGGAACACAGGATGCAGGTTTACTATGCATTTTTTATTGTCCTTTGTTCATTAATTATTTTTTCAGTCATTCTCATATTTCATATATGGTTTTATTTAAGATGCTGTTATAAAAATTTATCAACTGACATTTTGTAATAGATATGTATAATCATGTATTTTTTTTATTGTTCAAATGTTATTTAAATCATTATACTGATTTCTTGCTTGTGTTAAATATATCATATGTTTATTACACGAACATGTGAAGCATGTTTCAATGTCTAGTCCGTGTCCAAATTGCTTCATATATAGATTACGCTTATCATTAATAAACATTTATATTTTTTTTTTAGTTGGTCGGCTCGAGGAGAAGGAAGCTGAATTGAAACGCGAATATTCTCGACTGCATGATAGATATACAGAATTATTCAAGACCCATGTCGATTATATGGAGAGGACCAAAATGTTGGTTGGTAGCACAGAAAGATTAGAGAGTGTATCTACCAGCCGTGCACCATCGCGATTACCTTCCCTTGGACTTGCTCATATGTCACGTAGTTCCGGGCCACTTAGTTATGGTTTTCAGAGTTTGGAAGCTAGTATAAATGCCGAAGATGTTCAAGAGGACATCGTATCAAACGTCGTTAACTTGAGAACTGAAATG